CATTGGTTTGTGTACACGAATACAGACTTTACCTTGACTGAGTGTGGTTGACAATTATGTACTTGTACTGTATGAGTATACCCTGTTAGTACACATTTTATGTTGGCATAAGCTTCTTGTAAAGGGTTTCTGGCCGCSCCCAGTGACGTAAAACACAATGTCATAAATAACACAAGTAAACTTCTCTTCAACATTTCTGCGACGATGTGCTTTGAACGGAATTAAATAAATCGATTATCAGTGTTATTTAATCATAAACAAGAGTGGAATCAGGCTTAGCSTCGAATCTATGTGTAAATTGATTGTCTATTCYTGTTGTTTTCTATCCTAGGAACGAGGCTATTACTGCCTGTACAAAATGRCCTTTATAAATATGTTATAAAGTATAGGCACTGATAATCAGCGTTGCGCATGCGTCTTTGGTTGGCGGCTTTGTCTAACATAGATAGACAAGATTAATTAAGCGCTGAATATTTCCAGTTTCGATTTCCAATCCCACGGCCCTCCCACCCCATGGTAGCTTTAGCTGTTTAGTGTTTTTGCGGAATTTTGACTATTGTTTTAACAGTCCCTACTATTTTTTAAAGTGCACGCCTTCGAATGTATGCAGCTGAATATATTGCTAGATATAAATGTAGTTTGCCCACTAATACCAGTTTAGTCATACGTCGAAATTCGCATGTTCACAGAAATTTTAGATAATCGGAGCAGAAATAACTGACCCTAGAATTCTAAAATGTCCGGCAATGAAAGAAATCTTCGACCGCTTAGTGAATTACTTAGTCATTATTATCTCGTATTTCGGCACATAAGAGGTTCGACGTAAGAGGTGTGGAATAGGGTCATATTTAAGATCGGTTAACTAAAAAAATATTTTCTTAAATAAAAAAACACTTTAAAAATATCTTTGAGCTATATCATGATATGAACGCGTATTGAAATATTTTGTTTAATGCGTCGTTTTTCGGCATCACTAGGTATATGGCAATTACACATCAGACGGCCTTTGTTCTAGTGTGTGTGTCATTTTTTTGGTGTCCACCCAAGGCCGTAAAAGTTAGACAACTTGAAAGAAAAACGTTGAAGTATCAAGATGCGTTTATGCTGTCTACGTACCTTTAGGTTGTTTGGGGGTTAGGAAAATTCTCAGGTTAGAATCTTTATACCTGATAAAACATGAGCAGCAGTATTTATTCAGCCAGAGTCGCAGGTAAGAATCACTTTATACCTGATAAAACATGGTTGCAAGTGTTTTATGCTATACATACAAAGAAAAATTACCAAACAAAACAAATGAAATTAAAATGGAGTATTAACAAAAAATCAGTAGATTAATCTTCCGCCGAACTTCAAAAAATAAAATGACAAATAAATCTTTAGTGACGAATGTTTGATGTAATATAACTTTTAAAAAGTTATACTAAAAATGCCTTCATTAAAAAAGTATTTTTTTTCTAAAATATAACCATTTTAAACAACAAATCTATAAAGATTAAGAGTGAGAGTGAGGGATTGAAAGATTGAGTCGTTGGAAATGAAGTCTACCACTCTTGGTCTTCGTCTGACATGTGTATACAACACTTCTTCAAAGCGTCATATCAGACGATAATCAAATTGTTCCCAATTTTTCTTCTATATATACATTCTATGTTATTATTCAGCACTGCCTGATTGTGTAGTACAGCCGATCGCATGTCACACATAGCCATAACAGACCTACGCCAGCTATCTATCACCACTTCTAGTGCAGAACGCACCCCCAGCAGGTGGATCACCTTTGACAGTTTAAACATCGACAGGCTTTTAGCCAAATAAATAATGTCTACTATTACATGACCGTTAGTCCTTCCCGCTTGTAACTGATAGAAAAACACAGATCAATCAAACCTACGTTCGAACGTTAACTGTCTTACATACTATGTTAATAGTAATTGTTGCCACGCGGAGCGCTGTGAAGAAAAAGCGACAATAAGTACGCGGGAACGCGCAAGATGAGGTTGTGGAACAAGTTGTTATAATTATAAATAAATTTTAAAATATCGGTAAAACTAGAATGTGTATTTGAATTAAGATTTGATAATGRATAAAGCATTATGATGTGTACTTCCTTTCATATATTTTAATACGTTTTTCACACATTATTAAATTGAAATGTGTAAATTTACATAGCTCTATATCAAATTTGTCTTACTGCATTCAATTTTAGCGTGGTTTATGAAAACAAATCRCCACACGACTTGCAGAGAAATTAGTGTCAAAAAGTTTAACGAGAAAATCCCGAGCATTTTTTACACAATTAGAAGAATGACCCTACGGTATATACATATACACTATTATTGTAACACTACCAGTCTATACACTATATATCTACGATTCTCGCCCTCTTAACAGTCAGTAGTTTTAGTTGTGGGACAGCTCTGACGTTTTGTTTAGCTACAAGAAATACAGCTACATCCCGTGACACTTTCTACGTTCACAACAGGATCGACACCACCAGCACAGTTCAAATTAACCTTTTTCCACTCGGTTCCTGTTGCTTTACAACACTGACAGAACTGCAAGAAAAAGACCAATGAACTTTTTTAAAAGATATATTCCGTGTTTTTTATTTATTTTATGCATTTGTTAAGACTTCATAATACAGTGTTTATTTTCAGTGTCCAACAYTCAGTTTATTTTCACATGATTTCACTGTTGTTATCTTTGTCAACTATTTTGTTTTGTAATGTAAGTTGTCCATGCAACGTTGTTATTCTCTTATATACTTATTGAATTCAACACTTAAAAGTAATGGATTTTAGAGATTCCCGGTTTTAAAATACCTTGCTGAAGTAGGGTGGATTCGAAAGAGGAAGAATAAATGATCCACACGTGCCTAGACATGCATAAACACCCACGTACTTGGTGTCACAGCCCGACTTGTCTACTTGCTTTCTGTAGTACTCTGATTTACAGTAAACCTTAAAACCTTGAGTATGTTGACTAAATATAACCAGTATAATAGCTAGACCAATTAGGCTCTTCATACTATGCGATCGGCTGAAATACAGGCAGTAACTTATTAACTTAAAATTACTGAAGTAAATTATAAGTCAATTTATATTTTAGCAATAGGTAAAATCTATTGTTTCGATTAGATTCTCACATGACTTGGYGTGTATATTCCCATATTATGACCCTAGTGCAATTGTTCCGCAAATAGATTACTGATTACCGATTTGAAAATTTGACCTACTGAAGCCGGTTTCTTTTAGTGAATTAGAAAAGTTTTGTTGAGGCAGATACCTTTTGACATAATAGGTACTAACTATGCTTTTGGCGAGGAAAATACTAACGAACAATTAAAATTAGTTGATATAATATGTATTTCAATTCCATGAAGTGTGTGGAAAAGCTACGCGTAGACGCGTTATACCTGACTTATAGTCCTGGGCTTATATCCCTATGGTTATAAAACTACTAGCTGATTCGCTGCAGAACATTTCAAAGACAACGGCTTGAACACTATGGAAAGTCAACAAAATTTACGTTCTGTTTTGCGCAGGCTGTTGTTACCTGTCTTACCTTCACTAAACGCTTTGAACGACTTCTAGTTCCTCCAACGGCTGCTTGTTTCAACCAACTGACGAAATTTTGAATCTGCCTCTGTTAAAAATAGACTAAGCTGTGATTGAGGAAACGCGATACGGGACTGGTGATCGAATAACAAGTGCTTCCGGTGATTCCAAAGATTTGTTATCTATACTACTGTTCCGGTTGAGAGGGGAACGAGACAAACAATCATAAATCACTTTTATAAGTTGAGTCAGCAGGCTTAGTCTAGTTTGAGTAGGTAAAATTGATGAMTTTGCTGAATTTGCCCTCTGGGAATGGTCGCTTTATTTTTGGTACCAAGACAATGTCGTCTAAATTACAATTGTTGAGAGCGAATATATTTAGGACTTTCCTCAGAGGGGAGGGTGCACATGTTATCTAAGTTTGGAGGGTCGGGAGGGGGTGCACACCTGTACTCATGCTGTACTTCTAATAGCACACTCGCCGACAATATGGATAAAGTACGATCCTGTTGTTTRAAAAATCATCAAGGGGGATTTTTATACATTTTCCTTATTTTTACAGCTAAATTTCTTTGTCTCCTCCGTAGCCTTTTTAYAGGATGTTTGTTCATGTTTCACTGGTTTTTGTCGTCAATGCCCTCTACTATACCGTCAAATAAGTAATTTTAGACATTCACTTTGGCAGAAAACTATTCAATGATAACWAATTTTTACTCTGACGAAGGATTAACGTCCGAAACGTCAGTAAGTTGTTTCACCTATATTTTTACGGTGTTAAATTTATCTTTTTACAAAACTGTTTCTTTGGTAACACCGAAGCAGGTCACAGTAGTTTAATACCGCTAGTTTTCACCATTTATTCAATGATAATAAGACTTTCAAACCAAGGAAGTTAGTTGATTCAATTAAGAATAATAAGTACAGATTTTACTCGCTTTCATCATTAATCCCACTCATCAARCTATTAATTCGGACAAYTGAGGGTGATTTATGACAACAAATCAGTTCTTTTGCATCAATAAATTTCTTTGTCTTCCTGGGTTACGATCACTCGTGTCAAAAAACTGATCAATATTTACCTGGACGTGTCTGATTGATAGCGTGGTACGCTTAGTCCTTCGCAATTCTTCATTTCCTATTACCCTAACAGGTGGACCAAACTGGTCTCAATTTCCGTTATCATAACCCTTAATGGACGTCCAACGGACTGGTCAGTTTTCATCTTTAAAAAGTATTTTAAGCGTGTCAACATGAAAGAAATATATTGTTCAGAAGAAAACGGAATGAATAGAATGGAAAGATAGTATTCATCAGATATCGAAAAAGTGCAAGAGTCAAAATTGCCCGGGATCTCAACATCTAACCACGTCTAACCTGAGTTAAACAAAAGAAAATTACAGAGATTGACAATAATGTAATGCGAAATATGTTTATTCAGACTTTTTGTGACTTTTATATTTCTTCTTAAAAAAATATTATTAAAAATACTAACTATACGTACTTTGTATATAAGGCTAAAGGGAGATGTTTCCATAATCCCATGGAAAAMCTTTATATATTGCTATATTTCCCATTATTTAACATGACTAATAATTATATTTTAATACACCGAGGTTAGAAAAACCCGTGAAATAGTACGCCTTAAAAAAAACAACAACAAAAAAAACAATAGATTTACGAATTAGAAGAATTATGAAGACAAAACGAACTCATAACTGCATTACTTTTGAGMCAGACTTAGAAAGAACTCTTTTTTTACATCATAAATACACCGCTTTGACTTTTGTTTCACGGGTTCAAAGACCTTATTCTTATTTCAGATTTTTCATATCACGGGCGTATGAAAATCTGCAAATGTACAAAAGCATATATAAATCAGGTACAATTTTTACATAAAGCGACTTGTTGTGGTTTATAGTCTCGACAGGGGCAGAGACGAGTGTAGATAGGTGAACGACTGGAACARCTRAAAAGTAGTGAAGTTTGCTGAATAAGACAAGARTCATCTACTGAGGAAGTCGAAGGAGCATGGAATGAATCTTTGGTGTAGGACGCTTTACATTCGATACCAGCTCTGGAAATCAAACAAATACGGGATGTTACGACAACGGATAGGGAGACAAAGAGACAGAAGAGGGATAAATAGTCTGGTAAAAAAGACACAATGAGCATAAAAACGTTRAGGCCAAAGAATACGACCAGAAAATGACAAGCTTCGGAATAATGAACGCCAAACAAATTACTGCGCGTCCAGTACATGTACAATGCAAACTTCTTTATAAGCACAACTCGCTATAATATAGGAGCACCACTATTTTTCACATCTTTTAAGGTTCAGACAAGTATGAATCGAGACCGTATACAATGGGTACCTCTTCATTACAGGCTCCTACGGCCTTTAGTTGTGAGCACAACAGGGCGTCTATTATACACTTATTTACATCATTAACAGCTCAATAACAATTGAGAAACGAGGCCTTGGTTGACATACAAAAAATGACTTAAATAATGTTGTACACGACTTACCTTTTAAACGCCTCCAGATTATTAATATCATTGAAAAATGACGACTCGCACAGCAAACCTATAAACAGCACCTCGATTAGTAATGCGATTATCAGTCAAAGGAGACAAAAATACTGAATAGCGTGATACTCCCAAGACCGCAATGCATTGTTGATATTATACTCCACATTAGCTGTGTCACAAGATGACAAATGTTCAGTTCTTAACTGTATGGAATTGTGGCATACTGTCACAGTAAGAACGATGTCATGATTTCTACTCGGCAAAATCAAAGAAAATCTCCTCAAAGCTGACACTCAAGCCCGCAGTTATAGCCAGGTTACAAAAATTTTGATGGTTGCCGGAGAACTTCAAAACATTTGTCGACCTTAAGCATCCTCGGCAACCCAGGAACAATCTTCTGTCGCGAAAAGATTTCCCCTATGTCTCCAAACATCGACATTTTACCATGCAATATCGAGATATTTGAGTTTTTTACATATAAAAGTCTTGGAGATGTATAAGCTAAAGTTTACCTACCGTATTCATCGCAGGTTTCAGAGCAGGATTTATCAACTTTGCTGACATGTGTGTGCAGTTCCTTCAATGGTGGCCATTTAATATTTCCATCGCAAAAATTCTGAAAAAAAGTAAAACAAGAGCTCTAGTGTGTCGTCTCTTACAATCCAGGACGAACAATTCACACAAGTTATTCCACTTTGTAACATTACTACAACTTGCAAACTTCGGTTGACAACATTGACCTACCTGATTTATAACCAAMGCGTTGACTCTTTCAAGCATTCCTGCAGGTGTCCATTCATAAGGAATGTAAGGCTTTACCTTAATAAACAGATAAAATTAGATTAGATTAATAAAAATGATGACAAAATGGACGGATAATAACAACCGTGAAACAGTTTACATATATATTCTATTTTTGAGGAAAGTTAAGAACATGGGTGTGTCAACAAGGTGTGGSTGGTACCCATGGGAAACGTACTTGAACTTCTTACGCACAAATGCAACTGAATAACCACAATGATACGAGCTGGTTTACCTCCATTTGTAATATTTCTTCTATAGCTAATTTAACTTCATCACTGTTATTGATGTCAATGGTATAGACGTGGGGTTTCCCAATGAATTTCTCTGCATATGGATGTTGAGAATCTAACTACACAACATAAAACATACCATGAGATCCAACGTGTCTTAACTTTACGGCTATCAACAATATGGGAATGAAATCTGACACAGACATTGAAAAAAATTGTTTATGTTGCATAAAGGCTGATTTACACGGTACAATTTGTCGCGCGCGACATGTAGTATACGATTTTCCTACTACAAGTCGTAGGATTTTAAGCAGTGGTTCAAAATCCAACTATAAGTCGTAGGTTGCGTACGACTGTTGTAGACAAGTCGTAGGGGCATTTACACTGCGCGATTCAAGTCGTATACTACAAATCGCACGAGACAATCGTGCCGTGTAAATCAGCCTTAAGAGGCCGAGAAGACAAGCTTACAATACCTTTCGAGAGGTAGGCTTTTCCTTGAAAAAATCTGTGTTGTCTCTGCTATGTGGGGGACTTAACTACGAAAAACAAGAAGTTAATACAAAATTATTTGAATTTATTTTAAATTTAACTTATAATTGTCTTACTTTTGCATTTAAAAACACAGCACCATGTGCAATGGCTTCCAGTGGAGCTGGTCCATCATAGGGAAAACCAAGTCCTATGTAAACCTAAACAGAATTAATTCACGTCAAATACAAATGAGACATTTATTCGTAATTGTACAGACAACATACCTTAGTTTGACCAAGTAGTTCCTGATAGTCTTGACCACTCAAGATGTTGTGATTTTTAACCCAGTCTGGTACAAAGGTTTTCATACGCTATGGATAGAAAACTTTTTGTTCTTTGACTAATTTTTGACTAATCCACTTWACTACTATTATGGGGATCGTTTCTGACCTTTTCAGAAACGAACAAAAGTGCCAAAAGTACCTGGTAAGTGTTTCGGAACCGGGAAGACGAAAAGATGAGGCAAAATACAGCTAAACACACGTATTTCTTACCGTTCCAGTCACTGTTCCATGTATTTCCAGATACTTAGACAACTGTTCAAGRTACTGATCTTTAAACTATGAGAAAGAGAAAACTTTGTCATTTACAATTTGAAGGAGCAATCTATCTGGTTTTATCCACTCGTAACAAGTCCGAGGAAAGGATGAACCACCATCACGACAAAGTCTGCATACTTTCAAAAACTCATTAGGACTTCTGAGAGTATATTTTCTGCGTTTTTGCCAGTGGCGGATCTAGGATTTTTCAAAACCAGCTCCAGATTTTCCAATCGTTTGCTTTTTAATATATGAGTGCTTTTCGTTTGCAGATTATAAAACTTGTCTTATTTAATAAGTGAAATAWAAACGGTTGCAGTACACCGTTTTCTACCCCTGGATCCAACACTGGTTGCTAGTGGCATGTATGTTCTTACTGAAAGTCGTCTWGTTTGATTTTTAAAATACCTTCCAAAACTTTGCATCTTTTCCATACACCACWCCAATAGGTTTTGTTCCAGATTTAGTTTTAATGGGCTCTTTTTTGTTCATGTCCACATCAACGACAAAGCCAAGAAAGGTGTTATCTGGTGTATGAGCTGCAAGTAGGAGAAKAATAATGACTGAGWACTCTGGAGGGAGGGTCACTACAGAAATCAATAACACAAAACGAAAAAAAACTTACGGAACATGGTCATAAACTGTCTAAGGTGAAGATTTTCTCCACCCCAAGAAGATCTTTTCCTTGTCATYGATGGCTTCAAGGGATTGACATAGTTAAATTCCACCTCAGTTCCAAATGAATCTAAGATCCTAAGTCGACACCTRAAATAATGGACATAGTTCCTAGTACCATCTGCAAATAGACTYTTTMACCATATGCCTGCCTCTCATTTGCATAATCCTTTTTTTKWAATCCAAGACAAAATGAACCCTGACAAGGGAGGGGAGKGTGGAGAAGGGAAGTGTGGTGCATCAAAATGCATCAAAATGAGACAGTCGTTTAGCTTGCAATGATAAATACCTGTACTGGGAAAAGTTTGGACCCAATTCTCTTTTAAGAAATGTGATTCCAACATAATCAGTGAAGACAAGATCATATTCATCAGGRCGAGCCTTGCTTGGACAGCCACGGGATAAAGGCATGTTCAAATGACTAAATTAATGTAATGATTTATATTAGATAAATATTAATGGATAATAATTGAAAATAACAGGATGAATTAACTTAAGTTTGTCAGAGGTCTTATGAAGTCTAAGTTGCTTACATGTATGAGAGTTCAGACTGAACTGACCTAAAAATCTGAATTAAGCTAAAAATATCCCACCAACACACTTATGAAATACAGATACAAGAAAAAAAAACGTGTAAATGAGAAGATGACTAACAAAATGAATGACTACTTGATTGGTGAATAGGCAAATACTGTCATACTATAGCTTTACAAATATAAGCATGTACAGTGCAGCATATAAAAAAATTAATACAAATAAATAAATAAATAAAGATACTTTTTAACTTCTTCCTTCCTGGTGCAGATCACTATATTATGACCAAGTATGAATAACGCTGCGATGAGATCAGACCATTGCACTAATTCACCTAATGGTGCCCCAATAAAAGCCTGCTTGAACCACTGAGGACTGTTTGCAAATGATCCCATGTATAGAAATATCTGGGAAAAAAAATGACTGAATGTGAGGAGGTTGGGTAAGATGCAAATACCCCTCCCCCCCCTAAAAAAACAACAACAAGCATTCTCCCCTCAAAAAATCTCTTTTTCACCGACCTACCACAAAAAAAAAAAAAAAAAAAAAAAAAAAAAAAAAAAAAAAAAAAAAAAAAAAAAACAGAATTCTGAGGGTGTATGCATAGCCTGGGTTCTCCAAACCATACATCTGTAATATAGGCTAGTATAT